GAGCCAGGAAATCAAACAGGTTTTGTTAGAATAAACCTAGGGACCCCAAAAGGGAAACCACAAGCGATGGTTCTCAGGGCTCACTTCCTCATTTCCGAATGAGAACCAGCAAGCAAAGAAGGCGAGACAAAATGGCCCTCACGAATAAACTGAAAGGGGGGTTGGTTGTCATAAGTTTCAGGCCAGTTAGAGTCCATCTGAAGTTCTGATCAGTGCCCTTTGCCGCGGTTTGTTTTGTAGCTCGAGGAATGCCCGTGTGCAAGACAATATTGGGATTGGTATCTTTGTCACCGGGGGCCTCTAACACTCGTATCCTTCTGGCTTGAAACGCCCAAAACAGACAAAAGAGCACATGGTTCGCGAGATTCCAAGAAGCAAATGGCTGTGGCTCAAAAAACCGGTACCAATATGGAACCCTGGTAAGTGGAAACATGGACCAAAACCTGCGTAACCCCTCCTGGTTAATTTTGAGCCACACCCAGGGATGTAAGTCGGTAAGTCATTTCAATTTGTTTGTCAGCGTGTTCCACCGCACCCTTGAGGCGAGAAAGCTCCTAGAAAACCTTTCGACGAATAGCCTGGGGGTAATTGCTCACCAATTTTCGCATGAGCACACGAGCTATTGACAGATGCCGCGTACCTTTCCATGCCTCGGATCATGAGAGCGTGTCAGATGGTGACCGGTGGATTCTGGGTGTGTCTGTTTTGGGGACCCTCTCAGAATGGCTTCGGATTTTGTGGATTCCCTGCACAGCGGCATATCAGAAAAAGGAACCACACCCATATTAATATGCGCAATGGGAAAACACCCTGCTACTTGGGGTGAACAGGGATGGCCAAGCCATTCTAACAATTCCGAAAGAAGCATGGCCATAGGCCAAGAAACGGAGTTTTGACCAGGCCCATCAAATGACACCAGGACAGAATGTTTCTTGAACTTGTGCCAAAAAACGTAACAAGCATCGCAGAATGCCGTGTCATGTTTGTTTTTTGAATGGTACGACATCTAGGGAATCCGCAAATCCACGGGGAGGGACTTTGTCAATGGCAACATGAGGTCATCCCCCAGACAATCTTGAATCACATGAAACTTGAGTCCAGGTGATTCGGACCGACGATATGTTTGCAGTTTGCTCGGTGAGCCAAGCGCGTTGAAGAAGGGCTCTTGTGTTGGAAGGCAGTCTAAAGACATGCCAGCTGCGGGTGAAACAGGCTCACTTGTGATCTAAAAGCAAAGAATCCTGGGGATTCCCCTGCCTTTATGTTTGAGGTTCTTCCTGAGTTCATGGACTATAGTCACTTTTTGGGTTTGGACCGCTTTTCGTCCCTTAAAGTGTGGGATTTTTGGGGTTTGTAAACGAACCAAACACATTTGTAAACAACCAAACGACCAACCAACAGTTTGGGGGATTTGTAAACAACGAGTTGTCAAAAAATGGGGCCAATCCACTGGATGCTTCCATTTGCTTAAGTTTTTCTTCCCCTGGTTGGTTTTAGAGATGGACTCGATTTCACTGGACATCTCGTCTCACTTGTTGGTCGGGCGGCGGCCCGGCCCTCAGCCAATGGAAGGATGATGGCGTTTCGGGTAGTTTGCTGCTTGGTGCTGAGGTACTCAGCAAGCTGGAGCAGATCTTTGGGGTGGTGATCGGGAGCGACGTGGAGTGAGGCATCGATGCCTCACGGACTCCCAGTGGCTTCCAGTGACTCGAGTCGTCGAAAAGGGGTCGGTGGTGCACCGTGAAGAAAAATGGGAGGCTTTTCCAATCGGTGGTGCACCTCCCTTTTGGGGTCGGTGGTTCCTTTAAAATATATATATTTCCATGGGTCAAAACCGTTTTGGTTGATCCCATTTTGGTGGGTAGGTGAATTCACCCATTTTAGAATTCCTATTTTAGTGGTTGGATTGGTTGATGTTCACTGGGGGTACGGGATTTTGACCCATGGCCATATTTCCGCTGGTTGGTTTTAGAGATGGAATCGATTTCACTGGAAGTATGTGTATCTTTTCCAGGTGGGCTTAAGCAAATGCGACTCAGGGGCTGCGACTCGGTTTTGGTTGCATGGACAACTGGCTAGCTGGCCTATTGCTTGGCTGGAGTCAAGCAATGAGTCGTTTGAACAAGCAGCTCGCGAAATTTGAAATTGTGCAGCATGCGGCGAAATGGGCCGTGTTTCCAAGCCTGCGACACGAGCAGAGCTTGCTTTCCGATGTGAAGCGGGGCGAGGTTTTCACTGCGCCTGGGTTTCAGAAATCCACAGCTTGTCAAAGTAACCCTCACTTGTCCAAAGCCAATCCACCAGATCTGGTCAGATCTGCTTTCCCACTGCGGTTATTTCCAGGCCCTTTGGACAAGTGAGTGGGTTGTGGGCGGCCGCAAGACGTCGGAGATGCATGTTAAAAGGGGGACGCGCTGGTTGGCATTTGAGCTGCGGGCGTTGACTGAGACACGCTTCCGTCCATGCGGTGCGGCCAATATATGGGCAACAATTTGTACTTGTTTTGAGTTAACATGGTATTATTTAGATCTCTACTCTCATTGCTTGCCCGTACACAGGTGACACAAGTGTTGCTTAGCACACAAGGTGCCGACGAAGAGTTGCTTAGCTCCAATGCACTCGGGGGTATGGCTGGTACTCAGAGCTGCCGCACGGATTGGTCAACCAAGCGGATGTTGATTCTTGCGTGGTCCCGAATCCTGCTAGGCGGCCCATGGCGGGTTGAGGATCCCTTTGCAGGTGTGTTTCAAAGGGATGCAGAGGGATTGCCCCGCTTTGATCTGGAATAAAGCGCTGCATCGGGCCTTAAACTGGCCTGCTCTCGCGAAGCATATGTGCCACATTTCTGCACCAATTGAAATCGAGCGCACCGAAATCGTGCCGGGGGGGGGGGGGGGTAAAAAGAGGTCACCCTAGATGAAGATCCTTGTCCATAGGGCGCGTCCTGCTTGGGAATTATAGTAGTTGTTTGGCCGGATATGTGTGCGTGATGCAAAGCGCAAGTTGCTGTCTTGCTGTCGCGCCGTTCAAGGACACAGCTCGCATGGAGCATGCCGAGAGCCAAGGATGAAGCCCTACAGGGGGCATTACGAATTTCGCTTTCAGAGGCTCTGACAAGGGCCAAGTGGCCCGCCTTTTCGATGGATTCTGGTTGTGGCCCGAACATGGCATAGACACCGTGCGAACAAGATCTGGCTCAGTCCTTTCGACACAGATCCGACTGCACCAGAAGCGCAACAATCAGCGGGCGATGGGCCTGCCCATGTGTGAAACACATGGGCCGTGGATTGCGCCCGCAAGGCCCCTTGGGTTTGTTTGCACCGGCGCCCGGGAATTCCCCTTTATACTCCATTCCCCCTCCGCCCTAAGGTTTACCATTGGCATAGTTTAACATTAGCGTTGGCAATTGTTTGGGTTGGCTGGAGGGTTTGTTACTATTGGGGGTCCGTTAATAAATAGGAAGAAGGGATTCACTTAAATCCAGACCCAGGCAGTCAAGGTCGAGAATGCATGGGCTTGGCAATGAGGCTGCAATGGTCAAACTGGTGAATCGGCTTTCGGCTGTCGGCAAGCAAAGAGGGCGATGACATGGGGGAATGGCGCCGTGTACTCTGACCAAGCTGCAGGGGAAACGGAAGGTAAAAACAACATTGTATGGGACCACTCTTTTGAGAAACCTCCTGCTTCCTTCACACAGGCCACCAGGCACTGCAAGCAATGAAAGGGCACATGTTCTGTCCAGGGCTCCTTAAAAGATACATTTTGCAACCATTTGGTACATGGCTTTTTCCACCAAAATACAGGGACACCACCATTTACAAGGCAATGTTCAGGTGTATAATGTAAGGATCCCTGTTCTGTCCACTGTTGTCTAGGACGAAGTTGGGCCGGGAGAGGCCACAGGCTTTGGCCCAGGATTTATTTTCAGCCCAAACGGAAGATCCTTGAATCTAAACAGTCTGCGGCTCAGCTTTCCAGCAACCTGCATGGTCTAATTGGCTACTGAACTTTTCACTGGAATTCAAGGGGAAAGTCACTGCTATATTTAAGGCGCTGAGTTCTGGGTGGTTTATTTGTTGCCAGTGGCCCCCCGTCCCCAAGCCAAGTTTGCTCGCAGAATTTGGGCGTGTCTCTTTTTGATGGAACATCTGAAAACACACCCATTTGAGCTCGGCTGGGGCTCACGACTCTTGGCAGGTCAGGCCGTTCACCGGGCGCGCCTGGAGGCGGGAGATCGGAGGATGTTGGCTTTTTTTCGTGGTGAGATTTTTTCTGGTGAGTGTATGTGCTTGGCGGTAGGTGTTTAGTTGTTTTTTGTTGGTTTAGTGCCAAACAACTCAAACCTTTTGCAAGGGATCTAAGGACAACCCAGTGTTATCCTTGTTCTGGTTGGGGGCTATCATTGCAGAAGCTGTAATCATGTTGCAGTGGCAGGGAGCTGTCCCAAATAGGTGCGGCAACAAGCCCTTTTGATTCTTTGCCATGGGATTTGGGCAGACTCGTGTCGAGGTTCTGATTCTGACTTTGACCATCCCATGAGTCACTGGCTGTTTGACCAGATGTTTCAGCCACTCGTTGCACGCGGAACCCAAACTTTCCCATGTCCAACGTGTGCTCGGCAGTTTTTAAACAGATGCTTCAGCCGGGTGCAATGTGTCCCGGGGAAAAACACAAGGGGACCGACTGCAGCTTCTACCGCACGCGGCATCACACAAAGGCTATATGTGCCACCTCACCCTTTGGTGAAGGTGCCCTAGATCTGTCGCTCTCCGGCTGGGAGACTTTTTGTTTGGTTTACCTCAGGCCAGCTTGCGTAGTTTAACTTCGGCTGAGGTGGATGAGGCAGATGCCTTGGATATGGAGAACAAGAAGGCGAGTCGAGGTCCGATGGATTCAGCTCCAGAGTGGCTCACTCGCTCGGGAAATGGCTGCCTATAGATCTCTGCAAAAGCCGGAGTTGTGTCCCAAGCGATTCACCTGCCCATTCAGCGAGCTCACCTGGGTCTTGAGAAAGTTTCAAGAATTGGGGATCCCTCAGTTCAGCTTCTGGAATTAAAGTAGAATTCACAGATTGACTAGCACCTTGGGAGTGACTTGGATGGTGAAATCGTGCGGCCAGTTCGAGTAAGTCTTCAAAGTCCTTTCCTGGATGTGGAATGTGGAGGGGTTTTCTGGCAGGATGATGGAGCGGGGTGTCCTTTCCAGGGAAGAACAGACCTCCAAAGTGTCAGACCGTTGCTGAATAGAACCTGCGTGCGTGCGCTGGTGGTGACGCAACACTTCGGATTGTGGGGCTGTGAGCTATCAGCGCTCGAGTCGCACTACAAAAGAGACGTTTGGTCTTCCAAATGATGTCACGCTCTCCACCATGATTTCAAGTTAGAAGTCGGGAGTCGGATGAGAGGCTCGTAGCAAAGTTGGTGAGTTGAGCTTCCTGTTCAGGAGAACTGCTGCCTCTTCCTTGGTATGGGGCCCGCATGATACTGTTGAACAACGTCCACGCCGGTCGGCACCATTTCGGACGGTTGCGGTTTATCAAGTGTTCCTAGCATGTCATCCATCCCAACCAGATTTTGTCTGCGGCAGTTGAATTTGCCCGCTGTCTTTCTTGTGGCTTGTAGGGTCCCGTTGGTTTAATTGCTGTCAGCCAGTTGCCAGGACTTGCAAGGCCCGAAGATGTAACCATGAGGGTGTAAAGCATGCCTACACAGGCAGTTGGCACTCTGTTTTCATTCCCCACATCCCATTGGTTGTATTGGGAGGGATCCATGTCCATCAAGGGGTCCTTGGTTTTCGCGTGGCTTCTCGTGAGCAATTCGACCAAGGCCTCAGGGGGCAGCCCGAATGATTTCCAGCTCGTGGGGGATTCTTCCCAAGCAACGGATCACTCTGTGATTCTACACTTGCTCCTCCAATTTGTACCTGAATCCTCAATCCACCCCTAGAAATGGGAAAATTGCCGCATAATTTTTGGGCAATACCCTCACTCCCACATTGCCGAGGCACCTGACAGAAAAAAAACCGGTCCCTACAAGAGGGAAATGATCTTCCAGATGCCCTCCCATAGGTGCCTTCTGTTAGTGGAAGGGAGGGTAAACCCTTTGATCATTGTGTGTGTGGGTAAGCCCATAGAGGGCAATGTATGGGTTACCCCAGAAACCATGGTGCTACCTTGCGGAGGGTAAAGCATTTTGTATGAGGTGACCCTTGATCATTTGCGCCAAAAGAGGCTGGGCCAGCTTGCGACTGGGACATTGAATGTTTTGTTGGGATCGAGTCTTGGGATGTTCAGGCCACGCGGTAAGACATGGGGCGTGTCTTTTTTGGGGACCCCCAAATAAATTGCTGTCCTGTGGGTTTTCCTTTACCACCAAAAGGGCACCATGGTCCCTTTTCGAAACTGGATCCCAAGTTAGGTCAGTGGTTGACAAATTTCTTCTGGTTGACCCTTACGAGTGCTGATAATTACTTGATACTTGTACTTGTGACTTGAGTATCCGCCTTGGTGCTTAGCAATCCAACTGCTGGTCGATTTGTCCAAAAGGAAACTGAGAGGGGATACACAAGGTATGGTGAAGCGGGGACTGTTATTTACGACTCCTTTCAGTATAGACATAAGGTTCTAGAACACGGTTTGGATGTGGCTTTTGTGGATCCACCCTTGTAAAATATGAATCCCTTCCCCCTAACAATAAACGCGAACCCCCCCCCAAAACAAATAGCAACCACTCTTGGGAGACAAAACATAATTATTAATCGGGTCCTGTGGGGTCGACCGGGTTTCCTCTTCCGTCCTCGTCCAAATGGCCTCCTCCCTTCCCGGACACGAAGAACCTGAAAGCCGCAATTGTCCGAGTGACGAACTTGAACAACACCGCTCAAGGTGTGTTTTGTTTGCTCATTCAAAGGTAAAGGGCTCGGTTTAAACTTAGAATTTACAATTCAAGAAACAAGTGTAAATTAGTCAAAGGTAGGTATGCATTTAGACTTTGGTATTGGATTGGCGCAGGGAGCCCCCGAAGAAGGCTGGGGCTGGTCTGGCCGGAGCCATCGGCCCGTGTAGTATTGGTTTTAAATTGGGCTATTCTAAAAGTAGTATTGGGGACCCGGCTGTTTCAGCCAGTCTGGAAAGAATAGTATCTATTAATAGTCCATTTATTGAAAGGGGGAAGGGATCAGAAGAGTACAAAAACAATACTCAAAAGGACCAGCAGTAATAATGCACAGTTGAAATCCGCAAAACGCGCATCCAAACCGTTTTCTAGACAAATAAGGATGGCGATCCCGGCCATGCTGATTTGACACGGGGAGACTTCAGTGCTTAGGTTTACATGGCCCGATCTACCAAACAGATGTGAGACCTGGGACATGACCCAGAATGGTTCCAGATAACACGGTTTTATCCGGACATGTGACTAAATGGGATCAATACCCAGTATTCCCAGGGTGCAATACAAAAGCCCTCAGGACTTTTTGGTGTTTACTCCTTCTATGGTGCTCTCTTTTTCTTCGATTTGTCTAAGCCGATGGTTATGTTCCCCAGTTGGAGCTAGGGCAACCCTACAACGAGTGGTTTCCGAAGCGCAACCACATTGTTGGAAAATATTCAAACCAACCCCCCCCCACCCCCACCTCCCCCTCCCCACAGCCACATCTCACCTCCCCCCCCACCACCCCCACCTCCACAAACCACCCCCACTCAAAAACCGGGTTGCCCCCCAAACCGCCCGCAACGCCTCAGGCGGCGCGGCACTGGCTGGCGCCCCGCGCGGAGCTGAAACTTCAGCCCGCGCGGCGCCTGCGCCCGCGCCCGGTGAAGCTGGCCACTTGCACCCGACCCGTCAAAAAAAGCGATCTCGGTTGTTTTTTGTTTCCCCCCATTTTTTTAGATTTATATATATATAGAGAGAGAGAGAGAGTCAAAATTGAAGGGCCTGAAAAGGGGTGGAAATCACACAACAGTACTGCAAATACTGTCAAATTATCTTGGGGCGTGGGTGTTGGGGGGGGGGTACCATATATATATATATATATGTGTTTTTTGTTTAAGGGAGGGGGGGCTTTTTGGATTTCAACCACAGGGACACCAAAGGGAAACTACATTCTTTCTTCTTCTTTTTTTTGGGGGGGGGGGTTAAAACCATCGAAACTTTGACTCTCTTTTTTTGGGGGGGAAACCAAAGGGAAACTACCTTCTCCTTTAAGCCACGTTGGAAGGGGAGAACAAACAAGAAGCAGTTAAGTGGTTGGATTTCAACCACAAAACCACAATAAGCAAACATGTAAAATGTTTCCCAACAACAACCATGTAAGGGGGGTGTCCTTCCTGAGGTGTGTTTCATGGTTTCAAAGGGAAACCAAAGGGAAACTACCTTCTCCTTTTTTTTTTGGGGGGGGGAGTCCTCTGAAAAAGTTAAACCGAACCAGTGAAGTTTCTTGCTGCGAGAAGTAGGGAATGGGGGAAAGAACCGTTTGGGGCTCCCCTGAAAGGAAACCAGCGAAGCTTCCAGCCATTCTTCTTCAGGATCCTGCTTTTCAGGAAACCAGCAAAACCCAGGGGAAACAGACGGTTTTCGAAAAGAAGGACGGTTGAAAAGAATTGGACAAACAAATTTCGGTGTCCTTTTGGGTTCCTCCTGGCTGGTGGTTTCCTTGAAGGGCAAAGGGAGCCAAAAAAAAGCCAAAAAGAATCCACATGAAAACCGAAAAGGAAACCGAAAGGAAACCAGAAGGAAACTAGAATCATGAACTTTGAGGTGGGTGAAAAGGGACACCAAAAGGAAACCACCTGGTGCGAGAGATGCAGGGAATGAGAAACGGACTGACCCCGAGAAAAATCATCCAACTGGTGGTTTCCTTTAAGGGGACCAAGGCCTGGGTTCATTTCCACATTCCCTACTGAGCACCAGCAAGAAAGGACACCTACGCTTCAAGACTCCTTGTTGCTTTGGATTGACACCCCTTTCGGTGTTAAAGGGAATGGCCACAGGTTTTCCTTTGTTAGCTTAGTTTGGTTAGAAATGGATGGGTTCCATTACTTTAGAAGTAGGATTTTGGGTGCGTCTTGTTTTAGGATTTGGACCTCCCAAAATGGTGGATTTCCTTTGAGTTTCCCTTTAACACCACAAACAAAAAGGCAGTACCGCGAAAAACGGGTACCATCAAAGAAAAAACACAATCATTCTCGGGGTTGATTCCCCATTCTTTTCAACCATCGTTCTTTTCAAGAACCGTCTGTTTCCCCTGGTTGTTTGATGGTTTCCTGAAAAGAAGGATCCCTGGAAAGAATGGGGAAGGCACCCTTAGAATCCTGCGGGGATTGTCTGTGATCCCCAGAAAGGCTGTCTTTTTGGGCAGGGAAGCCAAAGGGAGTCCGTGATGCCGTGTTGGGGGCCCGTCCGATTCAGTGTTCTTCAACTTGTTTATGGAGGGCCCCTTGAAAGTCCCTTGCCAAACAAACGAGTGCCCCTTCTTTCCCATTGCCACTGAGGGTCTGGGTTGTAAAACCGTTTGAAGCGTCAGTTGCTTCCCAGAGAGCTTCAGTGGTCATAAAAAGGGAGAAGGCGATGCTTGGGTTTGACAGAATCAAACGAGGGACAACTAAATGGGTTTGTCGTTCTTGGGGTGTCTCTTTCAGGGTTACCCAAAAATCATGATCACCAAAGGGGTACCTGAAAGATCAGAAAGGTGCACATGGGTTTTAGGGGACCCCCCCAAAAAAATCTGGCTGGTTTCCCTTTGGTGCCCCGTTGAAACTATCCAAAAAAGAGCAACCTCAAAAAATGACGCCCTCCCCATTTGGGCATGCGGCTTGAATTTCAGTTGCAGATACTGTGCTGGACATCATTTTCCCACTAGAAATGGTATCCACCATGTTTGAAGTTATTGCGTGGAGATGAATCACGGCATAAAAGTCGTTGTGCGAGCTCACTTGTTAAGAGACAACAAGTGCTCACGACAAAAGGTTCCTTGCTACGGGATTGATGTGAATTGTGGTATATTTTATTTGCCCAGGTCAAAAGGAACCAAGTAACGATATGATGACACGGTCGAGAGACCTGCTTACTTGCGGTTATTGGGGATGGTCATGAGCCCGTTGATAGGGACCTTAGACAAGCACGGGAAGAGTTCCTCAGGTTAGTCCGCTTTCGTTTGGTGGTTGGAACCAACAAAGAAGAGTCACTGGGCAACTGTGCAGCTTGGATTTGGACAGACCAGCAAACCAAACACTCTTCCAATCTCAATTTTGTTGGACCGTCGGGACTCACCAGGAAACTGCAGCTTTTGAAAGGGACATGCAGTGACCCCTGTCTCTGTTGAATTCTCACATTGCAAGATCCTTTCGCTAGGTGTCAAACCCGAGCATTTTTAACCTGTCAGCTCGAACCAAATGTCAGTATCTCAAATTGGAATTTAGCTTTAGAAAGAGACGACCATTTTGGCTTCCTTTTGGACAGCCACAGGAACCCTTCCATTAGGGTGTTTGTGTTGGTTTGGTTTAAGCACCAAGCACTCAGCTGAGCTAGTTCCGGGCGTGTCTAGCACGGTCAACCCGTCAACCCCCCCTCGTTCTGTTAGCAAATGGTAGTGAAAGGGAGTTGATTTTCAACAGATTTGGGCCTCATGATGATGGCGCTTTTCTTTGGGGTGCCTTGTTTCAACTTGGCGGCTTCTTTTATTCACAGATCATCTTGCAGATTCGCAGCCCAAACACCTGTCCATTCTTAGGAATCTGCTCATGACTCATCAGCAAATGTACAATCAGGTTACACACTTATGGGTTTCATAACGAGCTCTGGCTTCCAATGGCAACTCCAATGGTGTCCCATCAAAGAGGCAGTGACACCCTTTCGAAAAGCTCCAATTTGTGTTGCCAACCTTCTTGAGCCGGAAAACACAAAAGAACAAATCTAACCCATGAAGAAATGACAGAAAAACCAGACCCACTGTGGATGATGATTGCCCTGCAACTACCAACAAAACGGTTTCAACTATGGTTTCCTTTCGTGGTGCGAGAAGCGGATTTCGCAACCATCCACAGCTATGAGCGTGTATTTTTGGAGCTGGAACCTCCTTTGGGCTGGTTTTTTTTATTTATCGGGAACCCAAAAGGACACCAAAGTCCTTTCTTCCGATTCTTTTCAACCATCGTTCTGATCAAAAGCCAGCTTTTCCTGGGTTTTGCTGGTTTCCTGAAAAGAAGGATCCTGAAGAAGAATGGTTGGAAGGTTCGGTGGTTTCCGGAAACAAGCAAAAAAACAACAGAGAGGGTAGTTTCCGCCTTTTTTTTGACACCATCAACAACACACAACGTCAACCTTGCCCCCCCCCCCCACAAAAAAAAAGAAGGTCGTGTCCGTTGGATTTTTGTTATTTCAAACCATGTAGCACACCTGAACGACACCTCGCCCTTTAAAGGGCAAGTGACTGGAACTCGTTGCGGGGAGGGCGCCCCGGCGCCCGGATCGAGGCAGAGCCCTGGTGGCCGGGCGGCGGGCTGCAGGCGGTGGAGCCCGTCGAGCGCGAGCGCTCGGACCTGCCGGCGGTCGGCTGGCTCTGCATGCTGCCCCGGGAGGAGCGACGCGACGAACCGATTTGGGGAGGGGCGGTGGTGTTTGCTCCCCTTTTTTGTTTTGTTTTGTGAGCTTGTAGGGTGGTAGTTGTTGCTCCCTGCTTTTTTTTTAGTTTGTGCTGAAGCCTCCGTTTTGGTTTGGTTTTCAAGGAAAACTTGGGGAGGTGTGGTGGTTGTTTCCTCTGTTGTTTTTTGTGTTTTTTGAGTTGGTACCCCCTTTTTGGCTGGTCTACAAGGGAGGTGTGGCGGTTTGTTCCTGTTGTTTTTTGAGTTGGTACCCGTTTTAATTGGCTGGTCAACAAGGGAAATTGTGTTTTTTACTTTTGTTGAGTTGGTACTGAAGCCCCGTTTTGGTTCGGTTTAAAGGAAAACCAAGAGGAACACTGAAAACCACCGGTTGTTGTTGTTTTTTGGAATGAGTTGGTACCCCCTTTCCAAGTTGGCTTTCAAGGCAAACCCAAAGCAAAGCCGAACACGTGCGATTTTGGAGGGGCCCCACCTTTGAAAAAAGACCTGCCCAAGGGCTGCCAAAAGAACCGAAGGGCCCAAAAGGGGGGGGGGGAGGACCGCCATGGATCAAGCTGGTTGACGTTGGATTTGGCGCCTGAAGCAAATTGATGACAGCAATGTCAGCTGAAGAGAAGGTTGCTAAACCCAACTGGCACTGCGGATGGTTGCGAAATCCATTTCGCACCACTGTCTGGAAACCCCCTGATTCGATTTCCCTGTAAATGCCAACAAACAAGGGTTTCCACCATGGTTTCATTTCGTGGTGCGAAATGGATTTCGTCCATCCACAGCATTTCAAGGCAGCGAGTCGCAGAGACATAGCAGACAAAACCGAGCCAGTTTCTGACTTAGATTGGAATAATCCACGAAACGAGTGAGTAGGTTATACCCGTATGCTTACAAGTCGTGGACAACCCATGTTGGTTGACATATGGGTGTCTTGTTGTTTGAGGTATCCTTTCTGGTTGGTTTTAAAAGGGGAACCAAGAGGAGCCAACCATTATTTCATTATTTCAGGTTCCCTTCAAAAACAGACACCCATATATCATTATGGTCATATCTTGTACAACCTTGCTAAAAAGTTAAACACCCGAGAGGGGCCCCAGACAGAAGTGCAGACGGGCGCAAAAAGCGAACTACCCAAGAATCTCAGGTCCGACCAAGTTCTGAAGTTAAGTTTGTGTTTATCGGAGGATTCATTTGTTGACTTTAACCCGGTGGAATGTCACTTTCAGATGCATGCAGACCACTACACGAGGGAGGGAATCCCATGAACCATTAACATGTTCTTAGTTGTTCTTTAGGAATGACCGCTGCAGTGCTAATGACAACTGCCAACATGGCTGGTCTCTCAGAACTTTTGACCACATGTAAGCAATTGAGGACAACCCCATATTGGTCTTCGATCACTGTGAATCCACCCATGAGATGTTTCAGAAACTAAATAGCTATGTGGGTTGTCTCAAAGTAGGAGAACCCTAAAACATGGTGGCTTCCTTTTCGGTTTTCTTAAAAAAAAGAAAAAAAGAAAAAAGGAAAAAACAAACATAAAACAAGACAGACCCATATGATGTTCATTGATCTTCCACTGGCCTGGAAACCGTGTTGTGTTTTTTGCTTGGAGGAAGTCCCACTCAGACAGTTGCATCCTTCAGAACGGGCGAATGCCAGGATCACTGCGAGGCATACGAGCATCGCCTAGGGTCATTGGCGGATCCCAATTTCTGTTTGACGAGCTGCTGCAATGTATTAAGTAGCAGTCAACAAGGATTTTCACGTGGCGGGTTCCGAAAAAAAGCAGCATTATACATATCCATCAGTCCAGCGCTTTCATGTTGTGCAGAACAAGACTCAACATTCTTGTGGCTACGTGGAGGGGTTCCGTCTGTTCATGTGCCTTTGGACAGCTCCGAGCTGTCTGGGTTGCCTTTAGTCGGCCATGGATCAATCAAGCCACAAAACCTGTCGGATAGACACGACAGCCAAACAGAAAAACATAAAGACTGACAAGCAAGTTTTCAAATATCCGAGGTACAAGACAACACAGCAAGCAACCCAAGCAAAGAAACAGTAGACAGACAGGCAAACAATCAACCAAGCAGGCAGGCAGGCAGGCAGGCAAACAAGCAAACAAACCAACGCACAAGCAAAGCAAAGCAAAGCACAGCACAGCACAGCAAAGCAAAGCAAAGCAAAGCAAAGCAAAGCAATCAAAGCAGGCAAGGCAGGCAAGCAAGCAAGGCAAGCAAGCAAGCAAGGAAGCAATCAAGCAATCAAGCAAGCAAAGCAAGCAAAGCAAGCAAGGCAAGGAAAGCAAGGAAAGCAAGGAAAGCAAGCTCGCAAGCTCGCTAGCAAGCAAGCAAGCAAACACGCAAGCAATGCAAGCAAGTGAGCAAGCAACAAGGCAAACATCAACAAACACAAACAAGTACACCAATGAACAAATACACAAGCACACGCGCACACACACACATGCACAGAGGCACGGGAGCAAGCAAGCAAGTTAGCAACTTCGAAAGCAAGCATGCAATTCGGAAAACACCACACACGAGACAAACAGTTCTTCAATAACAGAACAGCACTGCCCAATGGTTTCAGGAAAGTACGCAGCCTGATGACTGGTTTGTTCATCGATTAAAACAAGCATAGGTTTGTGCATTCCATTGCTATGTAATTACATCTCAATGGATTATTGCGGTTTATGTTCTTCAACAACATCCATAGAAACAACATCCAGAGAGGGACCTTGTGAGCGGTGGGAATCGATTTGTCTGAACACCACCGCTGGTTTGCTATTGTTGTTTGCACAAAAAACAAAGAAACACACTCACTCAGACTAACCTGGAGCTCAGTTGTTCAGTGCCACCCTTTTTTTTCCCCTTTTTTTGGCGGCTGCCCCACTAAACATGGCCCAAGCCCCAAAACGGGTTCCCTTTTTTCGCCAGGGTCACTCAGACCTCTTCTGGAAGCTCCCCGAAATGGCCCGAATTTCCGGAACGCCTTGCCTGAAGCTCTGCGAGCTTCTTGAGGTGGGGGGAAAAGCAATGGGTTTTGATCCATTTGGTTGGTATCCCTTGGTAGTTTGGACCATTTGGTTTGGGAGTATCCCTTGGTTTTGATCCATTTGGTTTTGAACCATGGCTTTGGAAGGTATCCCTTGGTAGTTTGGATTGCTGGTTTGGGAGTTCTCCTCCCCTTTTTGAAGAGGATAGGAGGGGGTTGCCCCTCCTTAATAAACCCTCATTCGTTAACCACCAAACCGCGGGGCTCGAAACCACCAATTGGAAGGAAACTGACCATCCATCCATTGGTTTGATTGACACGGACATTTGGTTTCCACATTCCTTGGCTTGATAAAAACAAACTAAAAAACAAACAAACATGGTTTTGAGATAAAAAGCAACAGAAGAATGCATAAAACAAGTAAAACTAAAACTAAACAACACTAACTAGCAAACAAAACAAATTAAAACTAAAAGAATGATAATTAAGCAAAGCAACAATGGTTTTGATCCATCCATCCATCCATCCATCCATCCCCACCTGCCAGGAGCCATCGCCGCTGATCCCGCGGTCCTCCAAGCGAGGCATGGAATCGAAGGCGCGAGCTCCGCGGCGCACGCAGCTGGTGCCAGCGCTGCGGCCGCAGCTCGGCGATGCGGCGGGACGACATCCCCGGTTTTTTGGTTTCAACAGGAGTGCTACTGTGGATGGTTGGGAAATCCTCTTAGGCACCACCGTTCAGAAACCATGGAATGTTGATTCTTTTCTAAATACCAACCATCAATGGTTTGTCATGGTTTCCAAGTGGTGCAGGATTTCGTCCATCCATCGTAGGTGTGCTTCCAGCTGCATCCTCCAGATCGTCACAATATGTTGTTCTTCTATTACTATTCTTCTGCTTCCGATTATTATTATGCATCACAATATGTGTTTTTTTCCTGCATCTGATTATTGTTTGCTTATTGTGAATCTTATCATCATGACCAGCATGATGATCATGATCGTCGTCACAATGACCGCCGTTAGCATCGCGATATTAGTCAGCAGCATCATGTGCAACGCTGTCATCATCATGTTCATGTTCATAGTCATTTCTCCACTGATGAACACGAAATGAAGGCTGGCTTACCTTCCGGAATCCCTTGAAAAGGGCCCATTTGTATTTCCCAACCCAGGGACACATTGCGTTGGTTCTTGAGTGTTGGCGAATGCTGCGCTGCTTTTCATTTTGGTGAGGGTTCGACCATTTCTAAGGCCATTTCTAAGAGGCTGGTGGACATCAATGACCAAGCAATCATAATTCATACGCACTCAAAAATGCTAAAGCGGCTCTCTGAATCAACCAGGGGCAAGGTGCCCCTCAAGCTGGTTGTTAGTTTTTCCTTGCGGCTCACTGCCTAGGTTCCTGGACTGTTTTTTTTCTTTTAATGGAAAGACCAGGGGCAAAGAACAAGTGGGTGTGGCTCAAAATTAAGCAACTGGGGTTACGCGGGTTTTAGTCTACCTGTCGTTCCATTTATTTAATAAATTAATTAAATATTAATTTGAATTTATACATATATAAAATAGTTTTAAATATATATATATAGCTCTATCTATTTTATAAATAATTCGATTTATTCCAATATTTATTTTAGACTAAAATATAAACAATTATTTATTATTAAATTAATTCAATTCTATTATATGTTTTGCATTTTTATTTTGGGCCCCCATTTTTGAGCCACACCCAAGTCTGGCTACTTTTTGTTTGCAAGGTGATCCGCCGTGTTGGCTGCAGACCGGTTGACTTGCCTAGGTACAAATGCGGCCCGCCGCCCGTCTACCCAAACCCAGGCGCGGGGTCATCCCGGACATTCATTTGAGCAAGGAACTGAGGTGTTGAGCTTACGAAGAGTACTTGGATCACGTAGTGATTGGATTTGATCAACTTTCCAAATCAAGCTTCTCAGGGTCACGGACACTTCATGTTGATATTGTTCCTGCTAGCATGTTTCACCTCAAACCCGCAAACCCCTTTTGGATTGCATAGGAAAGACCATAAACGGAAACCAAACATGTTGACATCCTGCCAAGATGATCACCCTTTGGACCCTTAAAACATCACTTCGTGATCCTCAGGGCCTTACCTTATTTTCCCCGCACAAATTCGGCGAAATTCGACGAACTGGTGCCATTCCTTTTTCTCCGCGACAAAAACCACTGGAGCCCTTCCCCATCACAGTCGTGGTCTGCCTTAGGCTCGTTGAGCCTCAGCCCCCAGATTTACTGGAGCCAACATTTCCCCATGTTGGTCCATTTTTAGTAGAGGTGCCAAAAGGTTCACCTTTTTCTGGGTCCTTTGGGCAACTGAGCTAAAGCCTAAGCCCTAAAACAGATGTACTGGAGCAAAAACAAAATCTCCCCGAGGAGAGGTGCCAGGCCGGGCCGCACCAAGCGCCAGGCCCCAGGCTGGACTCCGAGGAACTCGCGAAACCGATACCCAAGCCGGCGGTGCCCAGGCGCAACTTGGCTGCAAGAGGCTTGCGACAACCAGATGAGGCACCCGAACATGGCAGATTCCCTGAGTTGGACGGATATTTTTTTTCGGGCTTGGACGATTTTGGTGTTAAATGAAAAGTTCACTAAAAGTTCAGACTTGTGTTGGCCAATCCACTCAGGAAGCGAGTTAAGAGGGCTAGTCACTCAGCCCCCCCTACCCAGCAGAATAGATCTGAAAACCCGTCTATGAAACTTCCTGGGTTGTGGGGAACCTTTGGTTGTTTCCCTGTTTGGAGGGAGGCTCACATGCACAGGTACCCTTGCTTTCCCGTTGGGCAATATGGGCTATATACCACCCTTGTATTTGAGCTTCAGTGGCAATTTGTTGGGGGACACCTAGGGGTACATGGTTGGGGCCTTAGATCCAAGTAGCCT